GTGCACCTTAGTCTTTAAACTGACATCCTTGATCTTTGGCACTTTAGAAAAACTCTTGACAGAAGCTTTACCCAATGCAATATGTCTTTTGATTTCTTTTTTTTTAATTTTTTATTTTATTATTATTTTGTGTGTCTGTGTACCGTCAAATCAGATCTGACTGGTACAGGAGGAGATTGTCCCTTCTTTCCCGGCAAAGCATCTGGTGGATTTGAACCATGTACCTCTGGGATTGCAGTGCAGCTTCTTGCCACTAGGCCACCAGAGCTCCCCGTCTTTTGATTTCTTGACTGCAGCTAACATGATGACTGGATCCTAGTAAAATGAAACTGTTGACAATTCAATCTTTTCTCTGTCTATCGTGATACTGTCTTTAGGTCCAGTGATGAAAATGTTTCTTTTCTTGATGTTGAGATGTATTCCATATTAAAGGTTATAATCTTGGATCTTCTACAGTAGATACTTCAAGTCTTCTTCACTTTCTACAAAAAAAGGTTGTGTCATCCACACAATGCAGGTTGTTGATGGGCCTTCCTCCAACCTTGTTTCACAAACTTCTTCACATAGTCCTGCTTCTCAGATTATTTGCTCAGCATAAAGATTAACTAGATATGAAGAAAAAGACAGCCCTGGCACATAATACCTGTCCTATTTTATCAATCATTCAGTGTCCCTTTGCTCTGTTTGGACAAATGCTTCTTGGTCTATATAGAGATTCCTCATGAATATAATTAAGTTTCTGGGATAAGGTTTAAAGTGACTGATTTATTTTCCTCTCTCAAAAATAAATGTATAGACCTTTCTTTCAAGTCACTTCTAGATGAACTCAAACTTTCAAACGTAATCATTTGTGCCACCCAAGACGTTTTTAAGTAATAATCTTTAGTTCAACTCATTGCCGTTGAGTAAGAATCAACTCATACCCAGCGCTCCAGTTTTCAGAGGCCATAACTTGCAAGGGAGGTGAGATTGCCCATCTTTCTCTCCCCGCCCCACCCTCCCCCAGCAGCTGATGCATTTGAACCACTTGCCTTTGGGTTAACAGCCCAACTCTTTACTCTCTAATCCATCAGAGATCCGTTTGAGTAACAATAGCTACTTTGTAGATAGGGAGCTTGTTATGAATGTATGAGTTCTAAGCATGTAAAAAATTGTACTAGAGTTCATCCCTTTTATAGCATGATTTAGAGAGCACTTTGATTTCTGCTTTACATATTATGAAAATGAACTACAGAAGAGTCCAATAAATTGTCCCAAATCACAGAGTTAAAAGTAAATGAGCCTGGTTTTGAACATAGAGAGTCTGGGCTCATTATCCTAATACTGCATTGTCATTCAGAAAATTAAATCTCTATTAAGTAAAATTTGAACATAACAGAACATGTAAAGAACATGCAGACAGAGCATAAGCCAGGTAAGCACCAGGAAGAGGACCAACACTGTGAGCAGATGAGAGACCAGGATGAAGGAGCATGATTTCTTGCTGTGTCTAAGGATGTTCTTTCTGGTTTGTTTTCACTTCCTAGTATGGTGGCACATTATGTAGTATGGTGGAGGGGGGCTGGGTAAGAGGAGAAACAGAGAGTCAGAACCCACAGAATAGAATAACACACCATGCAGAATTATGTTTAAGTAAATCATATTTCATGTCATCCATAACCTAGATTCTGTCACTTCAATAAATCCTTTTGTGTTCAGAATAAAACATCAAAGAACAGTTCTACTACTGAAGGAGATGGAAGTTTAGAGTAAGGAGAACCATGTGGTTATTGTTGTTGATTGCCTTTGAGTCGAGCACAACTCATAGCCACAGAAGGCCTGAAGCCCCTCTACACTTTTGACATTTATCAAAGTTCATAGAGTTTCTGGAGGCAAGTTGTTTAGAACGTGGATGCCACTTCTGCTTGGCAGTCAAAATTAGAGACATTTTCCAATGCATCCAGTAGGATGTATCCTTAACAGTGATGTTCTCTCTTCTCTCTTTTCTCCTCTCTTCTCTCTTTTCTCCTCTCCTCTCCTCTCCTCTCC